TGGGCGGCGGCGCCTCGGCGGCGCTCCCCCCAGCAGCCCCAGCCTCCGTGCTGCCTCGCGCTTCCCAAACCCTCCCGGCACTTTTCCTCCCATTAAAAAAAAGGAAAAGAAATGAGAAAATCACCGACCGACAAGCGCTAACGCAAAGCAGCACGAAAACTCGACCTCGTTCAGAGCCGGCCGATGGGTTTGTTTTAAAGGCTGATCTTTGCTCGCGGTGGCAGGGGACAAAAAGGTGGCCGTGAGATGGAGAGGGATGGCAGGTGCCCGAGGAGGAGGGCAGCCCGTTTGGGATGCAGGGATGCGAAGCCGAGGGATGGCGACGGCAGTGGGGCTCGCGCTCCCCTGGCCGCGGTGGGGTGACAGCGGCCACGCGCCTGTGGCCCCAGGTGACTCGCGGGGGGGGGGACAGCCAGCCAGCCGGTGACAGGGAGCAGGATGGTGGGGGGGGCTTTTTCCAGCCTCTCTCTCTTTCCAGAGGTCCATTTTTTTGCTGTGTTAAATCCAAACTGAGCTCAGGGCTCAAGCGACCTCGGCGATGCCGGTGGGAAGGAGAGAGGGAGAGAGAGGGAGGAGGACAGAGGAAAAGTCACCGAGAGCAGGGATGCTTGGGAAGGGCCCGATCCTGTGTCACAGGGTGCTGTGGCTTCAGCTCATGGCATTGTAGCTTAAAAACTAGTCCCCCTCCTTCCCCAGCACCTCCGCTCAGGGGATGCTGCCTGATCGCTCCCAGCTCCCCCCTTCTCCACCCTGGTTCAGCCTGGAAAGTTTAGGGCTCTCCCCAAACGCAACTGGGGGCTCGCACCTCCCAGGAGGCCACAGAGCAAATGCATCCCTCCCCTCCCCATGGCGAGATTGGGGAAAGCTGCGGGGGGAAGGTCACGTTATCCAAGGTCTGTTTGTAATGAATGTTATTTGCTTAAAAAAGAAAAAAATAAATAAATAAGTAAAATAATCCCCCCCTTCATTTGGCTTCCTTCACCTCGGGGAGCCACCGGCAAACCCCCTTTGTCTCAGCCCTGCAGAAGCAGCCGGACCCTCCCGGTCCCGCGCGCCTGGCTGCAGCCGAGAAATCCCTGCGGCAGACGGCATCGCCCCTCTCCGTCACTCGCCGGATGCGATTAAAATGGAAGACAACCATCAAGTGTGCTAGAACCATTTTAATATAATTATACATATCTGCCAAATCCAGGAAAAAAAGGTTTATGCATATATATCTTTTTTTTTTTTTTTTTTCCAGTTAACATCTGCAAGCATAAACGACAATGAATTTCTCGGTTTAAATTCATCCAGGTCAGAGCAACTGCCCAAAGTCCGGTTGGATTTGACGGTTACTGCCGGCGTGGCCAGCGGTAAGTGAGCTCCAGAGGAGTTTAATGTCCTCGGGTGGGGTTTTTTTTATTTTTTTTTCGGTCTTTTCTCTTTCATTCAGAGACAGTTTGTTGTAAAAAGTTTCAGTGCAGTTCACCTCGGGTGAAAGGCGATCGTGTTTTTATGGTTTTCTTTTTTCTTTTTTTTTTTTAAATATATTTTTTTAATTACTTTTTAAAAAGATGATAATAGGTAACTCAGTTGCTCTGAATTTCACTTATAATTATAACCTATTTAAATCACAGCAGAACTCCCGCTGGTGCAGAGTTCATAGTTGCATACAATACAGGAGATCACAGTTTTGAAGTCTAGCACAGATTAAAAACCACAGATGTACCATTTATATAAGACACACACTGATTGTCTCTTAAAAACTACATATTGACTCCTTATGAACATTATCTTTTTTTTTTTTTAATCTTTAAATAAAGTAGTGCAGCTAGGACAATCAGTCACACAACCCACACAGCCCTGAACCAAGTTCTCCGGGTGCCAACTTGAGCAAGTTGGGCGTGAAACAGTTGGATGAGTCGAGAGCGAGGGAGAAAGAAAGAGGGGGGGAGAAAAAGAGGGAGAAAAAGAGAGATGCTGTCCATTCCGAATATTTTAACCGAGGGTTGGCTAACACATTGGAAACCTCTGGGTGAGGGATCTTCCCACGCACACACAAAAAAAGAAATAAAAACCTAGACTTTTTTTTTATCTTTTTTTTTCTTTTTTTTTTTTTTTTTAAAACTGGCCCGCAGGTGGGACGATCTCCCACCTCTTCCAAACAAAGAAACCCAACAATTGCCTAAAACTAGAAAGAACACAGATGGGTCTGTCTGTTTTCTGCTCACTAGATGATCTGTCCGTTTAAGGCCTTCCTCCTCCGTTTTTCCTCTTTATTATTCCTTTTCCAGAGCGTCTGAGCAGGAGATGAGTCTGAACGGGATCACACCAACACTGTCCCCCTCTTGTCGCTGTTGGTTTTTTTGTTCGTTTGTTTGTCCGTTGAGTTATTTTTCTCTTTAATTTAACCAAGACCTGACTAAAGCTGGAGCGTTCAGCCCAGCCTGTTCGTTCTCGTCGCGATTTCTCTCGTTACCACAAAGGTTCTTCACAAAACCTGGAACTTCCATGACGATGTCTGGTCCTTATAATCCAAGCAGTCAGCATTGAAGTTTAACTTCCAGGAGGCGGTTTGGTCTTTATAATCCAAGCAATCGGTGGTGGAGTTAAAGCCCAAACTGGAGGCTCCATAGCCCTGGGTGGAGAGGGAGGCTGGAGACTGGTTGAGGTGGCTGGTGACCGCGTTGGCGCCCATGGGACTCAGGGTGGCCCCTGGTCCGGGAAGCTGGTGGTGCATAGGGGTCAAGTAAGATCCACAGTCCATCCCTCCGAAATAGGAGGTCGAGCCAGCGTATCCTTGGCTGTAGCCGGATGCCTGGGTGTAGGTCATCGGGTAGGATCTCTGCATGCAGGAGGAAGAGGTGGACAGGGGGTCTGAGAGCGGGGAGATGGACGCTGGGCTCCAGATGGATACGGGGGCACTGCTGCTGGAAATGGTGGGGACTGAGGTGCTGGAGGGGGGAGTGAACTGCCCGCTGGTCCCGCTCTCCGAACTCACTTCCCGGGCCGGCGAATTCTTCTTTTTAGCTGGCCGTACCTTGTTCTGGCCCCCGTTCTGCTGCTGCTGCTGCTGCTGCCGCACTTGGCCCGGCGGTTTTTAAACCATACCTTGAGAGAGGGAGACGGGGAGGGAGAGAGAAAAAGCCTGGTGTTAGGGATGCGCAGGCAAACCCGAGGGGGGAAGAGTGGGTGAGTGGGGAGAGCTCGCCGGGGAGGGGGCACTAAAAGCGCTGCCGGGGAGCCGAGGGCTGCAGGCTGCTGCAAAGAAAAGCTCCGGGGCTCCCCCTCCCTGAGATCATTAGCAGTAATAACAAGTGGAAATGGGCAAATCAAACTGCTTAATAAGGTCACTTTTGGGGGAGAGGGGGAGTGGAGGGGGGGAAGGCTCCCTATTTGCTGTTTGCCAGCCAGGGACCCCCAGGAATCACCATTTAAGGCCTATTGAAGTCAAGCCCTTAATTAGAAACAATAGAGCATCAGAAAGGGAGGGAACAATTAGGGAAACAGAGGCAGTGGTTTTGGGGGGCGGGTAAAGATGTCTCATTTACCCTCCAAATAGACTCTCTGCTCTCACTCCCAGCCAGGGCTAGCCCCCCCCAACCCATCTGACCCTCTTTTAGCAGGGACCAAGGGGGCTGGCTCTGGGGTACTGGGGAGACTTCACGGGGAGAAGGCTGGGGTTTGGCATGGGGAGCGGCCACGCTCCGCTGGGGCATGGCACCACGCAGACCCGGGAAGCCTCCCAGGGAGGAGAGTGGGAGGGATGGCTTTGGAGCTGCCCTGATCCGGCTGCAGGGGAGTCCTGGATCCATGCTGGGGGCAGCACAGGCCTCCAGGAACCCCCTCCTGCCCTGCCAGCAGCACCTCCAAAATGCTGCCTGGATTGGGCCCCTGGGGGCTGCTTGCAGAGCAGACCCAGCTCAGCCCCAGGAGAGGGGTCCCCTCCGCAGAGGCCTCCTCTCACTCACCAAAGTCCCTTCAAAGAGAGAGGAAGCTCCCAGTCTGTACTGGTGTGAAAGGGGATCCCAGTCTGACCCTGCTCTCAGGATGCGGGGATCTTTGGGGAAGGGGGGATCTTTACGGTTTCCACAGGGGCCCCAAATGCCTGCAGGACAGGCTGGGATTTGGTGCCTGGGACACGGCATGGTGCAGAGCCTGGGGGTGCTGGGGAGCCCTCCCTGGCTCAGAGAGGCCAAGGGGGCTGGGGAGGGGTGAGGAGGGCTCAGGAGCTGGGATCCGGGAGCTGCATGAACTCCCCCCCTGCCAGTGCACAGGGAGGAATTGGGGGGCACACTCCAGCCCTGGGGAGGCAAATTGCCCCTCTATCCTTCCCACCACCCTCACCCATCTATGAGCATCCTTCACCCCACAGGGACTTGATCTCCCCCCAGGACTGACCCCATCCCCTCACCTCCCAGCCAGCCGCGGACCAGCCCAAACCCTCCCCTCCAGGATGGAGATGGGGGACGGGCTGGGGTCTGCGGGGCCACCCCATTTCCTACCTGTACTCTGGACTCGGGCAGGTTGATTTTCAGGGCCACCTCCTCCCGCATGAAGATGTCGGGGTAGCGGGTCTTGGCGAAAAGGGCCTCCAGCACATCCCGAGTGTCCCCTCCAGCCCCTTTCCCAGGGGGGCACCCCCATTTTCCCCCCCTCATCTCCTGGGCGACAGCAGCAATCCCACCTTGGATGCCTCCTCCCCATCTCCCCCGGCTGGGTCTGGAGCATCTGCACCCCCTCCCTCCAGCAGGAGGGTGTCCCCCCCCTCTTTGCGGACCCTTCCCCGGATAAAAAGTTGTGGGTGAGGAAGAAGGGAGAAAGGGGGACCCCACGCCACCCA